TACAGCAGTCTTTAAATCAGAGCTTTTGAAAAGGCAACTGAAGAAGTTGCATTGAAACTCGAGCATTGTTAGTGGTGTTATGCTTCTGCAGTAGACACGATTAATAACGTTGTTAATGATAAATTAGAAGATGGTGATGCGAATTATTAATATGCGATTTTTAGACAAGTAATTACTGCAATGGTCTACGGCGAAGAAGGTAGTTTAAATTTTTGTTGTTAGACTAGGGTTCTCATTATGTTTGTAATTTATTGTTAATATCGAAGCAAGAATTAGTGAGCTCTACTATCTGCTGAACAACTATTACTAGTTTCAAGGTGCATACTGGCAGAACAAACATATTTTTGGGGAAATTTTAAACAATGATTTAAGCATTTTTTAGTGTCTACAAACCTTTCAAACGGACAACGGATTTCAACATTTTTAATGCAAGTTTATGTAATGTTATGTTCTCCATTCAGTTAAGAGATTACTATCTTTTCAAAAAATCAGACACTGTCTGTAAATTAATTGCATAATTTACAAGCTCAGTGTAAGATTAGCTGACAAATAATAAAGTATTAAGAGGTTTAGATTTTATAACTGTTTAAATAATTAGCATAATTTCTTAAAGCGACAAAACCCACTGGGACGTTGTTGCATTTATGATAAAATGTACCAATTCCAGACAAGTTATTGTGTCTACTTTAGACTCTCAATATTTTATTGTATATACAGCAGAGCTCAGTTCCTCCAGGGATTACTTAGGAAACTAGAAAATCTCATTGAAATTTATAACTGATTTTATAATCCTGGGAGTACAACTGGTAACGTGTTATTTCCTATTCAACCCAATACTCTAGCGTTTCTATAATGTGTTGCAGATCAAAATTTAAATAACTGATATCACAATCCGTTGACACCTTTGAACTTGAAATAGTTGAACAAATTTTTCCATCTAAAATCCGATGTTAGTTTTCGAATATGTATGTGTGCCTGTAAATGCTTCTATTGTTTCTCCAGGGATCAATGAATAATCGCAACACCGTTATCGTGTTGGTGTCTTACCATATATATAAAAAAATCAGATTCAAAGCTCCTGAGAAACCCAGTTACCTTTCTATAGAACAACACATTTAAGGCAAAGCAGCTTAATGTGTTATGCTGGTCGTGATTTTAAAATTAGGAATTCGAGTGTGTGAAAAGTGCACACAATTTCCGCATTTCCGTGTTTGGAGTGCTAATTACGTTACGTTTTGTATGCTGCATTTCCCTTCGGATAGCTGGATGATAAACTATGACCCGTGATAATGCGCTACGAATGAACTGTAATCGAATGGATTTTTCTTGCGAATGAAGAATCACTGATCAAAAGAGATTTACAGTAAATAACAGCATAAAACCATCAAATAGATCCTTTAAAGCTCACGAGACGAATGTAAGAGGAGTGATTGATTCTGTTTCAATTGAAACGATCATTTTTTTACTATTAAATAATCGAATATATACGCTGCTTATCGCCCTGTAGTCGTCTCGCCAGTTATAGTTTATCTGCAAATGCGATAGAGCAATAATTTCAATTAAATGGTAGTAAAAAATAAAAAAATCTCTAACGTAAATGGAAGAACACTCACATACTGAATACAGTTAATTGATTACAAGTCAATTTGCTCAAAAAGTTTTATAAATCCAGGCTCGAAAGCATATAATTTAATATGTTTTGTTTAGAACGATAACAACCTTCATTCAATAAAGAATATTAAATTATTAATCTTTTGTACAGTTTTCAATGTACAGTTCTTTAAAATAATCCTTTATAGCATCTCATTTCCAGGCTTCTCACACATTTAATCTTAAGCTTGATACTCAATTGAAATAAAAAGCTGAGTAAGAAGGACTGTAATTAAATTGATTAAAACATTTTTTTTAATTATACAAAGTAGTTAATATACAATACAAAGATTGCTTCCTGAAAAGATGACTTCGAGCAATTTCCTAGCAAGATTGAAAATTTATTAGTGGAACATTTGTTTGTTTGCATCCCCGCTAATGACTCGGCCTAACCAAAATATGAAAAGATCGATCCATCTCTCAAACATTCACAATGAGACTATTAAAGGCGCAGATCTTGGCAATCTTCTTATATAGAGCAGAAAATTGAATTTATCGAGCACGAGAGCAGCAGAAAATTGGTGCTTTTGTAACGAAAGCTGGATAATGTTTCATCCACCTTGGAGGGCTTCAATAACTTGTGTGAAATCTAAATGAAAATGTTAAATCCAATAAGTATAATAATGTAGCAGAAAACAAAGAAATACTGATGAATTAATATCTCACAGCTCATGTGTGTTTCACACTTGATGTAAATGCTTCAATCGTTACAATTACTTCATCAATAAGGTCCCGTTCACACATTGCCTTATAAACAGCGTGGTCGGTCTACAGATAAATAACTGTTCCTGACGAGATCTCGATAATTGATTATCACGGTGCCAATGAGCAAATGAAATAATAATATATCGAGACGATGATTTATCGGATGCGATAACGTATTGAAACAAAACTGGCTTTCCGCGAATATGAAATTAAATGGTGTGGAACATTACAGAGTTTGATTTATTGTGTTATAATCATATGGCCATTTGGATGGTGTTGGCCATCCTCCCACGGTTATTTCCCTAGCTTTATTCTTAGCTATCGTTCATTTGGTACCCTTTCTAATGAGATTTATTGGGAATTAAAATGCTATTCTCTTCAAGTAAAGCAGAAACTAGATAAACTCTTTGTTTATCGAGGTAATATAAAAAATGTGCTATCTTACGATTTGAGTCGCGGGTTAATTTGCGGTCTTTGTCTGTCTTCAGGCCAAGTTTCACATGGTTGTTTTTTAGATCCGTGGCAAACCCAAATGAGTCTGCGGGGAATTTGAACCTTTATTTCGAAACAAGCTTACTAGAAGTGTACCTACGAAAAAACGAAAAAGTTGAATTAGCTTATTTAGTGTACACAATAAAAATATTTCTTTATTATTTTTTTAATTAAAAATAATTTTCTATAAAACAAAACATAAAACACTTGAGAATTTTTATCGGCCAGGAATGATCAAACTTCTGCCTTAACATTATTTGAAATGAACCCTAGTAGACCAAATTGTGCCAAATTTTATAGTGTTTTTATAGACAGAAAGCGATAAATTGTGAGTTATTGAAAAATATGTTGGAAAACTGTGATTCAACATTATTTAATATTTAGGACCTTTTTGAAAAACTTCGAATTTTAACAGACGATGTCTGCCTCTTTATGTGAAGCGTGTCAAGCTTCTGAGGTTCGTTTAATTCTGAAAACACATACGCAAATCATAGATTTTTGACCAAAAAAAACACTCCAAATGCCTGAAACTCTATGGCACTTTCATGGCAAGACAGCGGTAAATTCAGCAAACTTGGTTTTTTATTTTGCTCGCTGAAGTTCGATCTTTAATCGATAATCTCTATCCTATTTTGAACTCAAGGGTGCCTTTTTGGACCTAAAACCTCTTTCAAAAATTAAAACTCAGTTGGAAACTCATAGAGCTCAAAACGCGCACTTGTGCACGTGCACTCAAAACGTGCACTGCTCCGCAACAACCGAAAATTATGGCTTTTTGAGCTGTTTCAATCTTTAACCAATTTAAATGTAGGTATTTCATGTATCTATTACGTGCTATAATGAACCCAAATACCCTACACATTCATAATGGAGTCTCTAAGGTCGAAAATTATTTATTGAGTTGAAAAAATGCACGTTCATATTTTTGAATAAAATTTGTAATTGTTGTCTGTTATTTTAATATTATATCTGCACACTTATGTAACTACGAAAAATAAGAAAGGCTTAGATAGCTTTAGGATAGAGAACCAGCACATAACACATACATTTTTCAACATTTTGACTCATTTTAATCTTGATTCGAAACAATGTTTTGAAATCCTTGCTTTGATGGTGTTATTTTGAAGAACAATATTACTTTCATTGATTACAGTTGATCATCTTTTTCTTACCGAAAAACAATAACTCAATATATTTACTTTACCATCGTAGCTACATGCTGATTTGAGCAGATTTTGTCTTTATTTTTTAACGGTATATTTACCGTAAAAATACGAATCCTGTTAAATATACAAGGAATTTCAAATATTATTAAGCAAAGGGAGTTTAAATAAAATAAAACACTTTCAGTTTGTGAAAGAACAATTGTGAAGCTCAGGCTTTTTTATATCCAGATATTTGTTCGTTGTCCAGTTCTTTTGTCATGGGTTACATACTCGGATTCAAAATTAAAATATGGACATTTTAATTCCATATTCAATAAATATTTAAATTAAAATAAATGTTATAAAATATCAAATTTACACATATGGAAAGTAAGTGCTTAGCAAAAATACTAATTGCTGGAGCAGACATGACGATTCTTGATTAAAATATATTTTAAGTTAAGACAGAGAAATTTTTCTTCGTGAAATGATAATAGATTATAATATATGGGAAAAAACACGTTTATAAATTTAATAATTTTGGTACGAAACAATTAATTAAATAAATATTAAGTTGAACTATTTTATATTGACCCATTCTTGTTTAATTCAAATTCTGATTTTTAACAAACGTGATTGTCACTAGGTATTAGAAATCTGCTGATATTTTCTAGTTTGAAACCAGAGCACAAAATAATACAGATATAGAATCACGTTAAAGATTCTGAAATGTTCAAGGACAAAATAGATGTCATAAACAATTTAAATTTAAAATTTGACGATACTTTGCATATTATACAGAACTTTGTTGTTACCACTTTAACTCAAGAAATAAAAAATAGAGAGAGATGAAGTAAAAAAGCTTGTTAAAAATGTTAATTTATAATTGCGGGCATGTCAAAATTTTGCAAATTACAAGTGAGACAGCGAATTGTAATATTCTGTAACTAATGAGAGAACTATTTCGAAACAATAACATATATTAATTATAAAATCTGATCTTTCCAGATATTGTACAACCGAAAGAAGAAAAACGCCGTCTAGTTACATAGCAATCAAGCGGTCATGCCGTGAAAAGGGTATTTTATATGAAGATCCAGATTTCCCTGCTGCTGCCAAGTCCCTCTACCACCACAAGAAACCCAACTTGAGCCCCATCGTTTGGATGAGACCTCATGTAAGTTTTGTTAATAAAATACCGATTAAATCGATTGAAAATCGATCGAAACCCGTCTGAAATAACTTTAGAAGAACCAATATATCGCCTGAAATAATAACGTTCTTCACTAAATTCCTTTGGGTATCCACCAATTGGTTACGTAAGTAATGAATTTAGAAACGATTTGTCTTCAATCGGTATCAGTCTAATTATCTCTCGAATTCCGGAAATGATTCGAAGAGCCAGCGAAGCGTGCAGCCAAAGAATGTAAATGTGATCGAGAAGTGTCGAAAGGTGAAAAAACTGGGCTACTATCTGGTGAATTGACGATGCACTTTAAATACCAATAGGAGAATGCAAAATTGAATCTTAATGCCCGTACGTACAACACCAAACGTCGTGTCTTACATAATTCTAATCTATGTCATCGAAGACTTGCTGGAATTTACGTAACGCACATCTATACGGAGTATCAAAAGTAATTAATTTAATAAAAATGTATTGGAGCTTCTGGTTTTTACTTATCAGTGATCATAACCGATATTGTTTTACAATAGCGCTACTGTTTGTTAACTTGAATGAAGATAATTCGTATTATTCAGCAATCTATAGGTCGATCAAGCTGAGACTAAGAGGAATACAGGAAATGATCTCCATTATGGAGATCGAATGAAAGCTTGCTGCAAGTAAGAAAAATAAAGCCGCTACATTTTTATCATAGTGGACAGGTCTAAATAATAATTATTACTTTCGGCTTCCGCAAAAAGATACAATCTCGTATTGTGCAGCGACTTTTTCCCAACACCCAGAGATCTTCTATCACTCGTTAAGTGAAAATGCGAAATTTTATTTATATGTTTGGGCCTGTTATCACTCGGGAAATCTTTATGTTGCTCACGGTTTATTACGGAAAAGCTACTGGTTTCAATTTGAAAAAAGGTGCAGTTTAAATATTGGAACTTCCATTAGTACGAAATAAACGAATAATATTGTCCGTTTCGTAAATTGCCTTGAAATGTTTCAATTAATAAAATATGGAAGTACAAAAAATGTTTGAATTTTTAGCAAGAATCCAGAAGAAATTCATGGTGTTCCTAAACAAGTGTTACAATGGAAAATAGTAGATTTCTCATGAAGAAAGAAACACCTTTCGCTTTTCCTTTTGTCATTTTCGAGAAACACTATGTCAAAAATTTAATTTATTTGTATTTTATTGCCAATACGTTATGAATAGTCTAACTACAGGCCTGAACGTTTGGCGACACCTTACCATTATTAATAACCGTTTTTCCGAACCCTGATAGAATTAATTGGACGTACCAGTGCAGATTTTAATATATTATGTGAGTTTACCATTGAAAAGGTAATTTTTTATTGAAAATTCGCAAACTTACGTTTCTCGAAAACGGTTGCTTACAGCATTAAATCAAAAGCATTCTTTTGCTTTCAAATTTCCAAATTTGCAGTTAAAATATTACTTTTGCAATGGTGCAATAGTTAGAAAATAGATTTCGATCTCTCCCTCTCCAAAATCGCCACCTCTGGTAAGTCCAATTAATGCCACTAGGGTATGATATAGAAGCTACTGATAGTAGACAAGTGTGTAAAAACACTGTACTTTATCACGGACACGGAGAGAAAATTCGAAGAAGAAAAGAGTGTTTCTTTGTGACACTTACCTAGGACCACCCTGTACATTCTTTTCCGCAGGCTTAAGATGCATACAAAAGTATTTTAACAGCAGTTGCTTGGTTCATAGATACAATCAATATAGGTAAATATGTATAATGAAAATTATGATGAAATATATTACTGCAAACGAAGTAATAGAGTAAGAAGAAGAGTAAAGAAACATCATAACGATTGCGAACGTTTAGAAGAAATAAAGCATTAACCGAAAGCAATAATTTGTTTTGAAACAGAAAAAGAAAAATACTGTCTGTATTTTAACTTGTAGAACGCAAAAAGCTTAAGCGGCTTAAGCTATTTATCATTCGAAACACTGGATAAGTGCAAATTAAAAATGTAGCATAAAAAACAAAATTATTTTCCGAATTTAATGTTTGTTAAAATATTTCATATATGTATATTTATTTTAAACAGTTGATATTTTATGCTTTAAGCATTTTTTTTCAAATTTATATTTTTTTTCAAACTTCTTTTAGGTCGTTTTTTATAGCTTGGTAGAAATTAAATTTGTAAACGTTAATGCTTTTATAATCGTTATTTTATAAATATTAAATTATTAATTAACAAATTCGATGCCATCTCGTGGAAAATAAAAAGCTCGCAAAATTAGAAGAAACTCTAGAAATAAGAAATAGTATCGATTGTAGTTCTGGTGCAGTCCTCTTTTTTGAACACTTTCGATGATGTGTTTGTTCAGCATGAATTTTAACATTTCTCTTTGGCATAATTAATTTAATCTATTAGGTATTCAATACAATATCTGAAATATAAGTTTCTATCAAATTCAGAAATAAAATGTTTGAGCTCCGAAAGTTTTCTTCTAGGCGAAAAATGAATCAACAATGTTCAAATGATCAAATTTCAAAGAGAACCGAATATTGCTCAAGATGAGATAATGATTCGTAAATCAAGGAAGTCTAACATAACGTTTTACGTATTTGGCGTATTCTTACTATTATAAAGTAATTAAATTGCTTACATTATGGAACCGACAGTAATACGAAGCATCCTGTAAGCTAAAACATTTAAAAATTCTAACTGTTATCGCATAATATGAAAGTATGCATAATAATTACTAATTCTGAGTATTTACAGCCACTAGAAGTAGTTTGCCTCATTTACGAACGAATTTATCATCTTCTAAAGAGAATTCTTGGCATGCATTTTTTAATTTCTTCACCTTTGAAGAAGATGCAAGTACATAACTGTGATAATTAATTACAGAAGCATGTTGCCATGTTACTTCATTTATTCATTAGAGTTACCAAATCAGAACAAACAGATATTATTTAAATGCCGATTTACCGTACATATAATTTTAGTAATTTTGATGATGATCAAAAAGGCGTAAACATGCACCATAAGGAAATAAAAAGTCGATGTATCAGCGTGTTTTCAAGTGAATCACCCAAGGCATAATACTGCAAACTAAATTTTATACATTCAAGAAAGTAGTGATAGAGAATCTAACGAAATGTTTATAATCATATATCATGCGTGACAATGCGACAAAGCCTATCAACAGAGAACCTAATTTAAACGACTAAATAACATTGCTAATAAGGAGAAGCCATCTGTTCAGGACTTAGACTTCCATTTATGCTAATATACAGGATGATTCTTTTAAATAATAACAATACTTTCTGAATCAGTAACCATGTTGTTTGCAGTCATTTGGATATTATTCAACGCTTGAAGCAATTTAAAGAAATCAGTACATAAACTTTAGCGTTTTGGGCAATTGGCAAAGTCGATTATTAAATAGTTTGGCGGTTATTTACAGCAGAATACTTTTAACTATTTGCATATTTTGAATGAATTGTTTTTTCCATTTGCACATGTGTGTACAGAAAGGTTGTAAAGCTGGCAATCAAAATACTTTTGTAATATCAAAAGACTTCTGTCTTAAATTGCTCCGATACTTAAACCCACAATGATATTTTATTTAAAACATTTATACGTTCCTATTCAGTGAAATGTGATTTAGCTGATGCAAAATTTTCGTGGACTTCTTGATTTATTATCTAGGTCCTAATGAATAAGTACTTTTATTTTTAACGAAAACCTAAAAAAATAGGGTTTGTCATATACAGTTAAGTTAAGAACATGAGACTATTTGAGGAGGTGCCAAGCAACTCCACAAGTCCGCCAAATCAAGAATTTTATAATTGCCGAAAAACTGTTCTATAGTATAATTTTCAATGTGTCTTTGTAATTTTTTATGTAGTCATTTATACTTCGACTGAAATATAAATCTGCCTCACGATATTGAATAAATTATATAGTGTACTCCAAGCGACTCTTCATTCAATTCATTCATTCAATATGTAACGATATAAAATTGAAGATCAAGTTTATATCAAATTAAAATTATGTTTAATTTATTTATGTTTCCTAAATAACGTACTTATTCAAAAATAGAAAGTTCAAGTCTACGTAAACAAGTAGCCAAAATTAGGTCTGTATAATATAGTTTTTGCAAACAGGTTTGAAGCCCTTCGATAGCCCTCATTTGTAGAAGCACTTTTCTCTAAGTCTGCGTCCCTGTTTTTAATCTAATAATGCTGTGTTGGGCTTTTAACAGCTCCACAATCTGAAGTTGTAGTACTGGAGTTACAAAAGCATGAAAACATCTTTAAAAATGCACCAACATTTTTCCATAATCTATCAACCGATCGAGTTTCTCATTGTAAACCTGAACTTTTGAATTTACTATAGCTCAGGTGCCTCCGTGCTACTAAAATTAATCTGTTTTAAATATTTTTAGTTTATTAATATTATTGCGAATTGGCAGTTTGTCTTTTTGCAAAGTCCACTGCTCTTCAGATATTTAATAAAGTGGTTTTGAGAGTGGGAGAGTAGGAATCCTATTTATTATACACTTTGCAAAAGAACTGTTGGCCTGTAGGATTGTGAAATGAATGAATGTATAAAATTAATGGATGAGCAGGAAATAACCTCTCGTTTGGCACAAGAACGATGATAAAATGAATTTTCGAAAAAATACTCAATATGTAAGGTGTCACTTAAACCATTACTTCTTTAAATCATCCGGTAGATTAGCAACAATAATTCATGGTAGTTAGCAGTGGATACATAAGCATAGGTATCTAAAATACATGCAGTGACATCTGCAATCAATCACCTGCGGGAAAGTTGGTGTCGTAAATTCAATGCGTTGGCAAATAAGGCCTGGGCAATGAGCTTAAAGTGTGAAAATGATCATTATTTATGTTAATACATTGCAGCATATGACGCAAAGATGATGTACAAAAATGTGCAGTTGAATCTACGTGCCTAGCAAAGTACAGTTTTTTTTAATTGGTGTTAATTAGTTGATGCGGCTGTTTGGTTTTTAATGAGGCAATCTTTTCTCCTTTCACATGCTCCTCTCATTAAGCTTACGGCTTCATTCTGTGCGGTTAGACAAACGAATAATTTTGTTGCAGGAAATTTGCCAAAGACCAAGATTCATCGAAGAAGCAGCAGCCGATAGCGCCTATCGATTTTGCGTCGAAGCTGGCGAATTAGGAGACCAATGGCTCTTATCCGCAGTTGCGTCTTTAGCATTAACTCCGAAATTTCTGGAACGAGTGGTGCCCAGCGATCAGGGTTTTGATGCTGGCCATAACTATTGCGGTGCATTCAGGTACAGTATTTGATTGCATAATTTGTAGAGATCCGAGACAAATTTTTAAACCTTTTGTTTCATTCAATATAGTTAAGTCTGTTAGGCCCCGCGTGCTTGGTTTGATGGCTAGGATCTTGTACAAATTGGTTATTGTAAATCCTTGAGTCTGAAAGTTCACATTTTTTATTTCATTGTTGATCAAACTGTTGAAGTATTCTCAATAAAATCTTCCAAAGAAATAGTTTCTTTGGGGAAAATAGCTTTCCTCAAAGCCGAATCAACGACCTCAAATGTATCTAGTTTTGTTTAAGCCAAAAGAGGGCTCAGCTTCTATGGCTACAAAATACAATATATCAAATTACGATTGTTGGGGATTTCAAAGGTAGAATCGGATCAAACGTGATTCTTGGAGTGATAAAGTATTTAAGGAGCTTGTACTTTCTACGAAAATTGTACGCAAAAATGTATGTGCAATAAAGATCACAATATAATCTTGAAAAACTTTTCTTGGAGGGGAAACTGCGCAAAAATTGAATCATTTGATAGTTTTTATCTAATTTGGGTTGCCAAAAAAAACTATGTAAAAACCGGAATATCAATCGTACTCTGATTGCATGAGTTTCACCATAGTTCACTTCATAACCTTGCATTACAACAGTAGTTTTTAGGGTTTACAAGAATTTTTGGATTTAAAAAAGCAGGTTGGCGTTATTGAACTTTTTCCATAAAACAAAAGCGGATAGAACGGTAGATATTTACCATTATGTGGTCTTCCGTGCTCAGTTTTAGTGTCTATTTCTCCGACACTCAACGCGGTCTTAGTAAATGCTTTTGAAAAAGTCTGGAGTTTAAATGTGAATAGACGTTCAGCTAGTTTCAGGAAGTCTAGTCAACCAGGAATAATTAAACAAGGTGTCCCGCAAGCACATGATCAAAAGGATTCTGCGATATTCTTTGCATCAAAAGAAAACGATCCGACCTAACTTTTATTAACGCAAAATGTCTGGCTATTCTGCTATTGATCGTCAAAGTTCTTTAAAAAAATTATCTTTTTTGAATTATCGGGAGAATGGTACAATGTATTTTAGTGAAACTCGCTGTGAATTTGCTCTTATGTAAAACTCATATTTTAATGAAACAATCGAGTTCAGCCGTTTCGGACAAGGGGTAATTGTGTCGTGGTACAAAAACTACCAGAACTTTTCATTTGATGAATCGAATCAACTCATTTTCTTGTGTGATGCACCAATCAATTATTCACAATTTTGTGCTCTTTGTTAAGTCTTGTAGCGGTCATAGTTTTTGCAAAAAAAATATGTTTTCTTGCCACTTAACAATATTACATATTAACTGCAAATATCCCCAGGTAGCACACCTGACCAATTAGACGTCTGCGAGACGTCCATATTAAGTCATTTTTGGTCAGTACGTCAATTGACTTAGAACAGACGTCAATACTTAGACGTCTATTAGTCAGATCTATATGGACGTCCAATGGACCGAGGGTGGTCATTTTTTAGTCACTAAAATAAGCTTTATTTCAGACGTCCTTATGTTCACTAAATGACGTCTCGTCTTATTTGGAGAACATTTTTATATAACTTTAAATGTCTCTTTATAATAATTTTGAATTTTTAGTAATTTATTTTTTAATTGCCTGTCTGTCAGCACTGCCTAAGGATGAATCTTGCTCCCAACACTCTATAGTCAGGACACAAAATTCATTTATTTCTTATTTCCAAAAGCCAAAGCGAAAGGAATAAACCAGAAAGACCAACATACTTTATTTAATAAAATGAAATATAATCTTTAAAGATTAGATAGATTAGATTAGATAAATTACAATCAACCTCTATGATTAGACAAATTAACAATAATTCTCGTATGTCCCTCTGTCTAAAGTAAAATTAATTGTGTGCTTGTCTATTTGTCTATTATATCATTTACTTCTTGTCAATTTGTTCGCACCAAGTTTATTGGATTTTAGTTAGGTTAAAAACGCAGAACCCCGGCACGTGGCCGACACTTTAACGTGACTGGTATTCTGAACTTGTACCTAGCTTTTCTATTGTGGTCTGGGATAAATAGTGGAACGCGTATAGGTAACAGTGTGTGGTCTATTCAGAACTATGTGCCGAGACAATATATGTATGTAGGTAGGTATATACTGTCTTTTGCGCCCCAACTTTCTTTTCAAAAACAAGATCTGGCTGGTTTGGAGCCACAGAAGTAACCCAACTTTTGAAGAACAAAAAGTATAATTTTAATATAAAAGAATAGAACATTGGTTTTTAATTGTGAAGGTTATATAAGTAGTATTACTTTCCGATTATCAGGTATGAAACTGTGATATACTTGTAATGTATCAGGTGGTACAGTTAGACGAACTTGCGGGCAGTACCCTGGCAGTGATCAACCAGAATTGGCTTACACCACTCAAGCAAGAGGTACTGTGACCTCTGATTAAGGGGAGGAAAGCGTTTAGAAAGGCTCTTACTGACGAAGTCCAAGCTGACAGCAATTGGAGGCCTTTTGGAATAAAAAGAGTTTTCTTTCGAACGGGTTCGTAAGAATAGTAGTTTTTTTATCTGTCCTCCGGTTTTTATTATTATTTTTGTGGCTGGTCAGAAATACTTTTAATTAATTAAAGTTGTAACCATCTTTGCTTGCTTCCTGTCAATAAAATACGATTTAAGATTCTATAGTGTCTTATTGTAACCAAAACATTTCCTCAATATAAAGTAATTGTACTGACCATGTACAGACCTAAAACCGACGTTTAAGTGACGTCAATAAGCAGACGCCTAGCCGACGTCATTAAACAGAAGTCTGGCAGATGTGTCATGTAGCGGTCATTTGGACGTCCAAATGACCAGCTATCTGACGTCTTCTGGCAGAATCTCATGTCGTCGTTTAGACGTCCGTAAGACGTAGTGTGCTACCTGGGTCGTGATACGAGGCATAAATAAATTGTCAATCAATCGCACAAATTCGTTTTGAATGATCTCTAATGAAGAAGTGACCGACATGGTGAAAGTATTAGGGTTTTGCGAAGACAACTTGCGTGAAAGTGTACGCGTTTATTGGCAGTTAATGTCTAACATTGTTAAGTGACAAGAAAACAGTCATATTTTTTGGGCAAAAACTATGAATGCTACAAGATTTTTTACAAAGACCACAAAATTGCGAATCATTGATTAGCGCATCAAATAAAATGAGTTGATTCCATGTACCAAATAAAAAGCTCTGGTAGGTTTTGTACCACGACACTCAAGAATTCACCCCTTGTCCAAAACGGCTGAACTCTATTGTTTCATCAAAATATGAGTCTTAGATAAGAAAAAATTAACAGCGAGTTTCACTAAAATGCATCGTACCATTCTCCCGATATTTTAAAAAAGATAATTTTTTTAAAAAGAACTTTGACCCTCAATAGCAGAGGGGCCAGTAATTTTTTGTTAATAAAAGTTAGGTCAGATCGCCTTCTTTTGATTCAAAGAATATCGTAGTACCCTTGTGCTTACGGGACACCCTGTATAATTGTAATACTATTTAATATAAAATTTAGCTTCTACTTTTGTTATAGCCAAATAAATAATCAGAAACAACGAAACAAACATCCCTCCGATTCACACTATCACACCCAATAGACCGGCAACGGCACGACATAATTTTTTCTCTCTCATTCTTGCCAAGAATGTCGGTCGGCTTTGTCGTTGCCTGTACGTGTCATTACCGTGCCGTTGTCGGTTAAGGTGGTCACCACCATTTACTTATCTAATAAGAATGTTTTGTCGTGTCGTTGCCGGTCCGTTGGGAGTCTGATAGTGTGAATCAGCCTTTACTTTCATATCTGGTGAACTTCAACAATTGGCAAATAAAAATAAATCGGGATGTGTGTATTATAGTATCGGCATAAGAAGAATACATTTTCTTGCAATAAAGAACGGCGAAAATTTAGTGCACCTATTATGTAGGAGAGTTGGCCGATTGAAAGTCTCAAAGGAAGGAAAACTTTATCCATGTTCTACATTGTTATACATTTCAATTTTTGAAGAACAATTTAAAAAACTAACCAGAAATGCTATGCAACCAAGAGTTGCATAGGGAAAATAAATCCCAAAGACCGGATTCCTATTATAATATAGGTCAATATAGATCTTCCTTTTAATGATTGATACTCGCTGTTAAATTAACATCTGACAAAATAAACAGTGGCGTTTACAACTGAATTGTTCTATTCAATTCCACGTTTCTTTCTCATGTTGATGATGATGATGATGTAAATGATTGGCAGTAAAAAAATAATAAAACGCATTGTCATCCGCAATATCATTAGCTGTTCATAATGAACTCATTTTCACTACAGCAATAAATTTTCGTACGTTCCATGAACCATTAGTTACTGAATGGTCAAGCCGAGCTAACAATGAACCTGAAATCGGCATTTCTCAGCACAAAACCCTCTGAGCAATATCTCCTTTCAGAAAATTCACCGCTAATAAATAATATAAAGCGATTTCTTAATACGAAATGTGTTTTAACAGTTAGTGGGCGTAAAGCGAGTGCTGCCCCCTAAATCCCATAGAGCGCCTTTGAAACAATACGCTGCCGACATATTTTAGTCGTGGGCGTGCCCACCTGGGGGCACATTAGACGGGAATTCCCTAGTGATGTAACTTTCGTAAGTCCGATAAAATACTTCCTGGTTTCAGAAAGTGGGCAGCGTATCTAAATGAACAGCAAAAAATTACAAGTTTTTATTCTGAAACTCTATGTAGAAGGTAATAACACCGACATCGGCATAGCCAATGGTCTACTTGCAGGCTTTTTAAAGTCCTTTTAGTTGGATTGTTATGGCCTCTCTTGATTTCCGTTTTTAAAGTTACTTTTACTGTTTAATTTCGAGAATAGTTTAAAATTAAACGTTTAAACCTCGCGTCAAAACGGTCCCTCCAGATTTCCGTGTGATGCGTTAAAATAAACCAGTTCAATTTCAAATAGACTTTTTACACACA